ATGGTGATATCTATGAGTTCATGTGTTCACCTGTAGAGTCTCTAAATGTCTGTAATGGAACTAAACGTCTCTTTAAAGGACGTTTCCTCTAAATGAGTTTGTTCTCAGACTCTGATGATAAATCTCCACTTCAGCAGCTCTTACATTCACTAAACTTCACTCGTTCATTCCTCTCTGTGTGCTGAAGGTTAACACAGAGGGGTTAGTTCACTCATCACTCACACACTCATTTATACATTTATTAATAAAAACATGGAGGAAATAGAATATTTTAATGTTTGTTGAGAGTATTTTTTGATTTATGGAGAGATACAAATATTTATCTAAAATGTAAAAACCAACAACAACATGAAACAATAATTTTGAACCTGGCTTTATCCAATGTCTAGATTCATGTTCTGGAAAATTAGCACATATTTAATAAGATAATGCCTTATTTGCATATTTAAAAATATAGTATTTCAGAAAACTTGTTTCATGGGGACATCTAGAGTTATTTTTATTTGACCCTATTCGCCTGTAGATTCTCCCTTTCAGGGGAAACATCAGGCTCAAAGGGGTTAAAATCATCACCATCATCAGATCATTAATTAACGACCTGTAATAATCACAATAATAAACGTCATTACAGTCAAAACAACCTTATTGATGACTCTTTCAAGTGAGTGAATCTGAGCGGGGGATGTTCTCTGCAGCATCTCCGGTGATTGATGCAACCTCCATTGTCATTACTATTATCTTTATTAATGCTGTCTGCTCGGGCCTTATTGCCTGCGCTGCTATCAGAGCTGCACAATGATACAACGAGGAGATTGATTTGTCCTGATGGGTCCTTTCATTACGGAGGAGGAGAAAAACAACGACGGAGGATGAAGAGATATTACTACAGCTGCATGCAATCAACGCTGAATCTGCAGGAGACCGCACAACGTATTGTTTTCTATTTGTGGCTGTTGTGTTGATGAACTAAACATCAAGATATCTCAATAAAAGGTTTGAATAGATCCTATAGTCTGTCTGAGGTAAACCGTTCTATAGTTTAACCTTAAATCATGATTTAAAAATAACAGCTTTGGCTTCTCCGGGTTGTGAATCCAACATATCGAGCTTAAAGGTGCAGCGTGTCGGATCTGGAGACCTCTAGTGGTGAGGATGCAGATTGCAACCAACTGAAACTTCTCTCGTGTGACAATCGTCCGTGTTTGGTTTGTCTTATTAAACACAAATAAAAAACAAAGTTATGAATATTATATCCCATTTCCAATAGATCCCCCTTAATGTGACACACTGTCCCTTTAAATAATATGTCAGAAAACCCCAGCGGCTCTCAGGTGTTGAAGCTGATTTCAATAAATATTAGGATATCAGTGGCTCACCGCTGGTCCCGGGTACGGACTGACATCGCAGCCTTCCCTCCACGACAGGTTCAGGCTCCGGATGAACTCCAGGTAAAAAGGATGAGTGATGTTCAGCATGGAGAAACCCAAAATGTTGGACTGATCGCCCACCACGTCGTCCAGCCGCAGCAGAGGGAAGTCCTGGAGACAGAGAGAGAAAGCGTTTTCTTTGTGACGTATGTTAGAAACTTGTTGAAACAGCAGGAGTTGTGAGACGCAGAAACAACAACTGAGTGAGATCAGTGGGAAGGAAACACCAGACGAGTGAAGAGGAAGACGGAAAAACAAACCACGGGCTTGATTAGTTTTCTTTTGCCGGCTGCACAACGGCAAGTTCAGGTTTTACATTCAAAGCAGCCTTACAGAGAGGAAAAATAGGTTTAAAAGAAAGATGGACATCAAACAGCGGGGACCTTCAAAAGAACTTCAAATAGTGGTTGAAGACGAGCCGGTCTCACACTGAGCTCCACCGCTGAAACAAAACCAGAATCAAACTGTTTGCTCGGCTCTCGGAGGGTGTTTCTCGTTCACTCTGAAACTGCTGGCGATGAAACATTTAGCTTGAGCTGTGAAGTGAGGAGGAAGCAGGAGGAGTCCTGTTTGAAAAACAGACGCCGGAAACAGACGGAGAACACGACTTCAACCTGCTCCACGGAACATGACATGGCTTTTAGTCCTTCCTTGGTTTTTACGCTGCAAATCAACATACAAACAACTTGGATCGTAGCTCCTTTGAGGACACCCGTTCGTGTAAAGAACTCTGGCGTCTCTTCCATCGACTCGTGTGAAGGACTAGTCGGGAATTAGTCCTGGTAGGAAGTGTCTCGTAATGTGTGACCTCCTGCTACAACTCCATCATGAGACAGAGGTGTAATGAGATCAAAGGTGCCATCAGGGTCCTACAGGTCCCACCAGGGCCTCTAATAGTGATCGTTTTGATCTCTTTTGATGGTTCTTTCATACAAATTGTCCTGATGATGGGAGAGAAAATCATTATGAATCACCGTCAAAATAATTTAACAGAAATCTGACACCTTTTTACTCCTCTGTTTACTTTCTCTGTCGTGGCGACGAGAAGCAGGTTACATCCTTCTTCTTCATGTGGTCTTTATCATGTTTACTCTTATTTCTTTTCCCTTTTGATTCGGTAATCCAAAGAGGAGTCCAGAGCGTCGGGCAGGCGGACTGCCTTCATCATCATTTTGGCTGCGTCTCTAGCGGGGTTAGAAATGTTCTGGCACACAATCTATCCGCTCTGCAGAAACTGCCTGCAGAGGATGAGGAGGGCTGCCGGGTTTTTTTCTTCACCATCGAGGTCCAAAAAAACCGTCCCGAGCTTCAACGCCAGACATCCAGCAAGTCTTCAGACCCTGGAACATTCTGTGTGCAGCTGTGAGTGTGAGGTTAATGTCTTCCACACTTAGTTGTTGTTGCCGCTGCTGTAGTTGTTGCTGCTGCTGGTTGTAGTTGCCAGTTGCCAAATGAATTTCAGCTCCCAGGGCCAAGAACACGTTCAGAGCGCCGGGCTTACCAGCCGCAACAAAGAGCAGTTGGCCGGAGGAGGAAACACCGCGACGGTCTTCCCAGAAAAGGATGGCACCGCTCAGAACCGGAGGCTCGTTTGATTCCGTTCATTAAGGTTCTTTCAGAGTGCCACGAGGTCGGCTCCGGAGAAAGGATGCATCTCCGTCTCCGAGAACAACAAAGTAAGATTTAGACTCTCTCGTGCCTCGTTCACAAAACATGACCATCAAACATCTGCAGAGGTTCTGATGGGATTATTATTCAACAGCTGTGACTCACTGATGACTTCACAGAGTGTAAAGAGTTCCTGACGCTCTCCTTCAGTCTGGAACCTTGACGTAGATGCATGACTCAATACAGTTTTATAGACTCTGAACATGTCTCTGTTATGTTCCGCTAACCTCTGCCCTCGGCCTAAAGAAGACTGTCTATTGGTCTGAGTCTTTAGTCTGAAACCTCCCCAGGTGTTCATGTCCTACTGGACTCAACGTATCAATCACAACTTAAATCGTAATGCTTTGTTTGACTCCTAAAAACAGACTTTTCATTTTGGCTGATATTTCATTTTAACAGCTGTTGAGTTAAATAAACTAAAATTAGCTTTTGTTTTGGGGGGGGGGGGGGGGTTGTCCACTCTCAAACCAGTTTTCATTAAGACATTTAAAGAGGCTTTAAGGAAAGCGAGCAGCTTATTTTTTCCCATCTTTTCACAAAGCGGTGAACTCAACACGCCGTCTGAGGCGTCCTGTCACAGTCAGCACAGCGTGTTTAATACAAAGTTAAAGGGAGGTCGAACACTGCTGCAGGTGTACGAGTGTGTGTGGAAGTGGTGGAATCATTTTACTTCTGGTTTGTATCCAGGGTTCTGCTGGAGGTGTGTGTGTGTGGGGGGGGGGGGGGGGCACTTTCGTCCTTGGCTTGCGAACAGCGGCGTTTAAATCTGCGACAACGACGGTGTTTTTAGGAGATCGAGGAGAGTTATTATCCACGCAAAGTCTCTGCGCACAAGGGCGCGACATCGGACTGTGAAATGATAATGATGACAAACGGCGGCTGGACCAGCATGCATCTCTGATGAGAGGAGAGACGAGCCATGGGTGAGGAAGAGATATAAGCGGGGAGCGGCGTTTTATGAGGTGACCACCAAAAAACATCAACGATTAAAAAAATAGGGGGGGGGGGGGGGGGGTATTAAATATCAAGGTGATGATGATGGGATGAAGATGCTAAAAAATGAAGGAAAAAGAAGGAGGAAGGAAAGGAAAAGATGGGAAAAGGGAAGTCTTTTAGGAAAGGAAAGGAGGGAGGAGAAGAGCACAGAGGAGGGATGAATCAATAGGAAAGAAAAGAAGGAAATAATGTAGAAAAGAAATGAGAAGGAAACTAAATGAATCAAATGAAAGATAAAAGGGAATGGAAAAGACGTCATTAGGACAGAGGATAGGAAAGGAAAGGAGAAGAGGGAAGGAGGGTAGGAAGAGTAGAGTATGATTGAAGAAGAGGAGATTTAGGGAAGGAAGGGAAAAGGAAAAGAGGAAGACTTGAAAGCAAAAAGAATGAAGGAGATGAGGGAGGTGGTAGAGATTTAAGAGAGGAAACAAAAGAGGCAGAGGACGAAGGGAAATAAGAGAAGTTTAGGAAAGGAAACAAGGACGGTGAAAGAAAAGAAATAAACTAATGACGAGGGGAAAGAGGAGGACAACAACATGGAACGAATAAAAAGAGGACAAGCGTAAAGATGAACTGAAAAGAGGAGAAGGGAATGAAAGGAAAGAAAATGAAGGTGATGATAGATGAGGATGTGGTGAAGGAAGTTACAACGGGGTAGAAGGACAGAGGAAAGGAGATAAGGAAAAGATAAGGAATGAACAGAAGGAAACAAGAAAGAGATCAGAGTAAAAGAGGGAAATAAAGTAAATGAAAGTAAATAAATGATATGACAGTGAGATGAGAGGAGAGGAGTTAATGGCAGAGAAGGAGAGAAGCAGAGAAGGAGAAACCACTAACTGTACAGAGGCAGGCGAGTATCTCTGTGTTCAAGAGGAGGAATAAAAGGAGGAGAGAAGTGGAGTTTAAAGGAGGAGGAGTGTGAATGAAGACGCAGCTCTTACCATGGTGGTGAGGATGTACTTGTAGAAGGCGGACATCATCCCCAGCTCGTTCGCCTGCAGGTCAGAGAAGAAGAAAAAGCTGACGTCAGCGCTGTGAAACAGGAAGTGCACGATGTTAAACTTTCTCTAAAGAGTTTGTTAAAAAATAATGGAACCATCTGTTTTATATCCCCCCCCCATGCACTCTGTGGTTTGTCCCAAATTGGAGACAATTAGGTCTGAGTCTGAGCGTTTACTTCTTCTTCTCATCTGCAACATGAAGCAGTGATTCTATCTCAGCATCTGTCAGAGATGTGAAGCTGATCACAAAGGTTTGAGGAGGAACAATAAGAACAGGTCGTTCTGATGCTGTGAAGAGACGTCTAGACGTTTAGCTTTAATCTGGAACCATCTGTAGACGTCTGTTGTAATTATAATTACCATTGTTTGGAATTCATGAGGATATATTTATGTAACCCAGACATCCAAAGACTTTAACTTTCTGATCAAATTTAGGTGCAAAATGTCTCTCAAAGAGAGAAAAATAAAACAGCTACAAAGAGACACAAATACATGCAAATTAGCTGCAAAGACACACAAAGATATTCACAACTATGAAAGCAGCAAATCTACAGACTACAAAGAGACACAAAACACCTACAAGTAGGCACAAAATGATTGCAAAGAGACGCAACATGATCACAAAGCAATACTAAACAACTACAAAGAGATGTAACAACTGTAACGAGACAGAAATGACCACAAATAGCTAAACAACTGTTATGTGTGTCTTGCTCCTGTAGGAGAGGTGTTGGGTCTTGTGCATGTCTGTCCAGGGTATGATAGTCTCATAATGCGTCCATGAGTCTGGGCTGCTACAGTCAGAGTTTGAGCTCGGAGCTCATTGTTAATATGTTGAGTTAGCTTCAGTGAAACCTGTTTTTTGGGTTAAAATCACTACTCAGTGAAGGTTGGAGGAGCTTTGTCATCGTTGTTACATTAAAAACATGGCGACGGTTGTGGAGCGATGGCGGGTTTGAAAGGAGAAACAAACATCTGTTTCCTGTGTTACAGTCGGCATGTTGCCTCTGAACAGCTGCTGCTTCACACCGTTCACATGCTCAAAGCTGACCAACTCTCCGTACGGATATGTTCAGAATGGGATTGTGAGATGGCAGCCTTCTCAGTGAAGAGCTTCAGACGGACTCTGTTATAAACCCATGAACCTCCTTCTGCGCGTCCTCTCCGCTTTGTTCTGCCTGCAGGAGTCGAGCTCTGAAGAGGACCAACATGACGGAGCTACTGAGTGTTTTTATATTTAGTGTTCTAAACTTCTCCGCCCACGAGTTCACCGGGCACGGAGTTAAGAATGACAACCTGCCAAGAGCTGTGGATCGACATAACCAACCAGTTTAACAGGAAACCAACCTGAAGGTCCAGTTCTACTGTGTAACCACCACAGAGGAAGAAAACATGATGCTCAGAGCCCTTCTTTATCTTTCATAACAGTGTTTACAGTGGAACCTCCACCATGACATGCTGCTGGAGACGCCAACATTTCTAAAATGACATATACATACATATATATATATATACATATTTATACATATATTCATATTTATATATATACGTATATATTAAAAAAACGTGAACGGGTCATTCTGAGGCTCAGCACTGTGTGTCTATGATGGTTTAAAATGAAAAGCGCTTGTGCATTTGCACTGCATTTCCCATCATGCTTTGGGAAATGCAAACAGGACGTGTCACGTGGAGGAGGAGGCACTCAGATCTTTTCCTTTTCGTAAAAGTAATATTACTATTTTGTAGAAATACTCTGTTATATCTAAAGAGCCCTGCTTTCAAAATTCCATCAGGTAAAAGTACAAAAGTATTAGCATCGAAATATACCTGAAGTATCAGAAATAAAGGTACTCATCATACAGAACAACCTATTTCAGATAAAAAATATACGATATAGTTATATTGTTATTATTATTGATGCATAAAGGTGGAGATCATCTTCTATATTTTTATCCTGCTTTGTATTTTGTGAATCTTACCGTGAGGTTAATCCATAATAATACATCATTTATCAGTTGATTATATTTTGTATTTTTAACCTGAATCTGCAAAATTGTCAAATACATGCAGTGGAGTTAAAAGTACAATAGTTCAAATATAAAGTTGCATGAAGAACGTTATTTAATTACAGTACGTGCTTCGTTACGCTCCACTGGAGCCGGTAGCTGTAGCGTCACCTTTAGGACGTTCTGGTTTCTACAACGAGGTGAATCGTCACCGTGAGGCGCTACGCTGCGTTAGCAGGCTAGCTAGTGACAAACATCCTGACCTTCCTGAGGATGTGGTAGGAGATGGAGGCGTTGGCGTCGATGATGATGGTGGCCACTTTGTCATCGCGGATCTCCTTCAGCAGAGGGGTGGGGTCCAGGCTGTCGTCCAGCATTCGCACCGACAGTGTGTCCCTGGAGATGAGGAAGCGGTGGACCAGCTCCTCCAGTCGCAGCAGGCCTAGAGGGGGAGGAGTCAGGAGTCAGGAAGTGGAGTGCTTAACAGTAGGAGACCTCACAAAACACATTACGGGTTTGGAGTTATAGGTAAAGGAGAACCAGCACGAGACACCTAAAAGAATTTTTTATATTTTGTATATTTCCACCTGTTTACGTTGCTGTGAGACTGCTACAGGCTACTGTCTATGTTTCTGACAGGAAACTCTCTCCACACCAGAATCCATTGACAAACAGTCATTTTACCCCACAGAACACGGGGTGGTTACTGGTCTACCAGACGTTGGTGAATCCAAACTAAAACCACTCGGTTACTAACTAACCGATCAAGGCAGCGGTTTGCCAGTAACTCCCGTTGTTCTGAGTCTGGTGGCTTTTGGCGAGAGCAGAGATGGACACAACGGCTTCAGTTTGCCGGTGGAAACGGATGTCTAATGGCAAGTTAAACCGGCAAAAATACTCTAAATATAGTGCACACTAAAATAAATGGATGTTTTGGGGGTTGGGGCCTTTGTTTCAGGTCCACAGCGGTATGTTGCTGACCACCATCTGTAGGATAAGTACCTCATACAACCCCACGTAGAAAGACCTGAACCCTTAGAGCTGTTAACACTCTCAGGACTGCTGTGGAGGAGAGACAGGAGTCCTTAAAGGTCTCAGGGTTGAACTTGTTTGTTTGAACTTGAATGGGCCTCAATAACTGTGGTTGCTCTAACACAAAATGGATTCTCTGATATTTAATTCAATCGTTTAAAACAGTTGAAAAATAAATTTAGAGGGAGATTTTTGAATTGTTCAAAAGTAGATGAGAAAGTTTCCTTTTTTTAAATATTTCCTGGGTAACTTTTAGAAAAGGACACTGCTCTCGGATCATAGTTTTAACATTCAGAGCCGGTCGTCTAATAGCCGCCATAAAGCGTGGGTCAGGACGCTGCTGGGTTTAAATAGCTATCAGCAGCAATCACAGCAATAACTCTGTCCCCGTTAAACACCGGCCTTAACAAGGCCAGGGTACGGCTAAAGACTGAGGAGCGTTGAAGCGGTGAGCCGGGGCGTCCCTGCCGGGTGGGGAAACCAGGACAGAGACCGATGGAGGAAAAGTGGAGGAGAAAAGAGAAAGTGGGAAAGTAGAGGAAGGAATCAAAAGATGGAGAAGAGGAAAGGAAAGGTCACAACTAAACGACCTGCTGTGATTAGTGAGATCAACTTTGACATGTGAGGAGATCCAATTCGGGAAACAGACCAAATAGAAGGGCACGAACATCTGAATAAATCAAGAAATCACACAAACTGTACTCAGGTCCCAGTGAATTTAACCATTTGGATTTCTTAATAGTGACCACAATGTGCAAATAACGCCAATGTAAAAAATTATAATAAATTAAGTCAAGAACCACCAATTTGGCGATGACTAGCTAGTAGCAACTAGCTAGCAGTAAAACAGATTTAACTTAAGTTAAATTCTCTCTCTAGATAAACTATTATTTATAAATTTCAACTCTCTGGTAACCACAGATGTACATAGGAGGTGGACGTAGTCATGACGTCTCTCGTTGGTTTGTGGATGTTTTGAAGTCTCGAGTTCGGCATTTTGGCCATCGCCATCTTTGTTTTTTTGCAACCACTGAACAGGAAGTGACCATATCTGGACTGAGGAGGAGTGACGTAGAGACGCCGTATATGTCTCTGGTAGAGACCTGTCAATCACCGTGTAGCCCCGCCCTAAAGCATCCCCTGCTTTATGGTCTGTGTGACTCTAAATGGACCATAATGTACTAAATGAACATCATGCTGTATTGAAGAAGACTTGAAACTAGAGATTGAGACCATAAACTCATGTTTACAATGTTTACTGAGGTAATAGATCAAGAGAGAAGTAGAGTCATTTTCTCATAGACTTCTACACAACAACACACACACTTTACTTAAAGACTCACACTCTGCTTTGGCACACACGAGGCTGGCCGTCGGGTAGCCGAAGGAGCGCAGGATGGACCCGACGGCCAGGCTCAGGTCCTCGTTGCTCGGGTAAAGAGTCACCGAGGCGAAGCGAAGGTACGGCAGCTTCGGGGTTTCCTCCGGACCGATCTTCACGTGAGGGATCTGAGGGCACGGGGGAGGGGGAGGAAGAGGAGTTAGAAGAAGAACTACAGGAAAAAGGAAAGGAAACGTCAACTTGAGGGTTTCCTTCAGGCCAATCGTCTCGTTGGAGCTCCAATGGATAAGAAAGCAAGATAGAAAAGAAAAGTACAATAAAATAAAGGAAAGGAGAGAAAGGAAAAGGAAATTGGAGGACAAATGGAAAGAATGGGACAAAAGTCAGACAAGGAAATTAAATGAAAAGTGCAAAGGAAACAAGAAGAAAGAAGTAAAAGATTGAAAAGGAGAAAGAGGAGGAAACCATCAAACCTTACAGGCTTTAAAGGAAGTTCAGATAACAGAAATGGAAGCTTTAATCAGAGTCTGACGCTCGCTGATAATCGAGTCTTTGTTCACTTTCAAAAAGAATATCTGAAGAGGGAGCAAAGCCCAGATCGTCAGAGATATTAGAAAAAAGTGTTTCCATGAGAGAGTGTGTGTTCACCTCCGCTCAGAGGAAACATGTCTCACCAGTTATGGAAAAAGGGAGAAAGAAGAGAAATGTAGCAATTTTAGCATTTTATGTGAAAAGAGGAAAAGTGACCAAAGGAAAAGGGTTCATCATCTGGGGAGCATGAATGTGCTCAGACCAAAGCGAGGTTCCCCAAAAAAATTTTTTTTTTTGTTATTTGGTATTTTTATGAAATTCCTTTAACATCCCGACAGACATCAATAAATCTATTTCTCTGATTAATAAAAACTAGATTATTTCATAAACATAAAATATTTATTAGACTATTTAAATAAAGAATGTACTCGTCTTGTTACTGAATTATGCTGTTAAGTTATCAGCTGTCACTTGTCTCTTTTATAAGCTTTTACGTTTGTGCACCGTGTGAAACGTCACGTTCGTAGTTATTTTTAACCCGAACCATGATCCTAGTTAGCGTTATTACTAAACATAACGCAGTATTTTATCATTCAAAGCGTTGTATGACGATACGTCTGTGTGGTAATTGGATCAATGCCATCAGAAGTACAGAGTTTGATACCCAGCCCTGGTGGTCGCACCCTCTGATGGCCCAGGAACTGTTGGGTGCTGAATGCAGATGACGTTCACAACGAACATGTCGTTGTACGTTAAAGAGTCTGAGAGCCTTCGAAGTGAATATCAGAGCTTCAGTTTAATGATTAAACCTGAGCTCAGGCCTGCAGAGGTTTAAACGGTGAACTGTAATTAGCTCGGCCGGGCTTCATTCTGATATGCAGAGCTTATATTTTTAAATCCAAGCAGAGAATCCAATAATAGCAGACCTGTCGGGCTAAAGGAGAGGATATCCGGACGCTTAGAGGCTTAGCAGAAGATGGAGATGGACTCATGTTGATTCCCTCAAGAAGCAAAGTGCCTGAGCACAAGTTAAAGATGGATTTTAACATCCGAGGTGTCATAGTGTGGAGCCAGATGTGACTCACCTCTTTCTCCCCACAGATGTGACTGATGGTGGACCCAGAGGCGGGGCTGGAGGCGGGGCCAATCACTGAGACCACGCCCTTGGGCAGGATCTGACACACTGAGAGAGAAAATAGCAACAAAAAAAAAGGAATCAGAAGTTAAAGCTGCATGAACAGATTTATTTGTTTTGCCTCTCTGGTGCAACTGGAACAAGACACTGAACACATCAGCAAACAGCTGCTCATTGTCACACCCATCAGTCACAGAATAAGGTAATGGTTCATGTCCGTGTCACCTGATGAATGGAAGTCCAGTACTTTCTCTCTTTTAGCTCCGTTTGGGTCTCCACCTCCTCCTGAGGGAAACATCTGTATCTCTAGCTGCTAAACGCTGCACTGTGTTCACCAGCTGGTCTCTGCTGAAGAGAGACGGTGAGGGCCGGACCGGGAGGAGCTACACAACCACAGACACCTTTCCCATATTTAATATTTATAGTATTTCATATAATATAAAAATATTGACTGAAGGCGCTTTGAAGTGAATTTCATATATTTGTGTTCATGGAGAACGTTGGATAGAAAAGAGTTGTTTTCTTTACTTCTAGTCTGCATACCACCTCAAACAAACTCAGCCAATCAGAAGTAAGACGTGATCTACTGTAGCGTTGTTTATTTGTGTACAGTTTGATATGAATGATGATGGATTGAGAGAGTCATCAGAGGACACTGACAACAGTTAGTTGTATTACGTGAGGAGGAGATGATTATCTCAGCTTCTCTTAGTCTCTGAAAGAAACACGCAAACTAACAAAAGAATCACACTCAGCATGTAGAGAACTAAACAGAACGGCGTCGAGGTCATATGAGCTGCTTCACAATGAACAAACACAAACAGCACAAACAACAATAGTCAGGTGTTTAAAACAGATTAAAAAAAAAAAAACGTAATTCGTTTCTGTACCAACGGATCAATGTGGATGTTTTCATTCTGGAAATGCACGTAAAACAATGTCTGTACTGTACGTATTGTGCCAACTTCCTCTCAATCTGTGCTGGATAGTGTGTGTGTGTGTGTGTGTGTGTGTGTCTGTGTGTGTGTGTCTTGCTCTGCTCTGACAGAAAACATTAACTGCCTCTCCATCGGGAAGTCTCTTTTTTTCTGCGCCGCCGGCAGTTCCTAATCAATAAACATCCAGAGCAGCTGATGGTGCAGAACGCTGAGCGCTCTCCGGTCACGATGACCTCGTGCTCACTCTGACTGTGTGAAACACCTTCGTCTGTCTGAGAGCTCCCAACATGCTCAACATGCTCACTGTGACACGACTCACAACACCAGTGGTCCATTTAGGGTTTATTGTTTTAGAATGGTGTAGTTTAAATCTATTTATGAATCTAGTTCTTATGACAGTTTTAGTTCTATTACTGTTGTTATAGCTTTTAATTCTGTTCAATGGCATTTTCATTCATTCATGCATTGGTCTCCAATAGTCACTTTGATAAATTGCTGAATTGTTTTCACGGGTCACTCGTTCTAATCTTCAGCTCTTCAGTCATCAGTGAAGCACTTTGAATCGTTTAATGCATGAAAGGTTCTAAACTAAAATACAGTTTAAATGTATTGATTTAGTAGATTGATTAAAAGAATATTACGGTAGAACTTATTATCGAACAAGGCAGAAACACCTATTTAGTAATCGGTTCAGTGTGAGGCCAGTTTAAGGCATGTCGGTGAGGTTAATCTTTCTTAGTTCATTCCAGCACCATCTACAGATAATACGGACGTATTCATACAAAGCGGTGTTACTATTAAGATCACTGCTGTGAGGAATGTTTAAGCACCTCTAACTCTTCACAGTGAACACACGGTGTGTGTGGTGTTTAAGGTGCAGGTTCACTGAGCATCATTAGCACCTGCTGCCCTCTTCACCTGTCCTGTTAAACAAAGGTCTGCCTCCTCTCACACACAACGCTTGCTGCGCTTTACCTTCACTTGGAAATGTCAGTGTGAAAAGAGCAGCTGCAGCTGGAAGAAAAACCTACTGCCACAGCTTCAGGTGGGGGAGGGAGAGGAAGAGGGAGAGGAAGAGGAAGAGGAAGAGGAAGAGGAAGAGGAAGAGGAAGAGGAAGAGGACTTACTGGTGTCAGTGGTGTCGTAGTGGGAGTCCTTCAGCAGCTCGTAGACGTCCACCTCCACCCTCGCCCGGGAGGAGCCCTCCATCAGGCTGTTGATGTTCTCCCTCGCCAGAGCCAGCGCCAGACGCTCACCTCGACCGCACGCCGACTGGTCATCCAAAATGGCCGCTGGAGGTAGGGAGGGAGAGAGAGGTTTATAGGTTTATGTTCACGTGTGTGTGTGTATATATATATATATGTATATATATATATACACACTTTTTCTTTTGGATATATATTTATACTTATATTGTATACATCTGTTCTACTTTGTTTTGCTGCCCTTTTATATTCTTTATATATATTTTTTGTTGTTTATTGTAAATTTGTGTACACATACATGGCCAATAAAGCTGATTCTGATTCTGAGAGAGAGAGAGAGAGAGAGAGGGAGAGAGAG